GAGAGTGTACTGCCATTATCACTTCGCAACTTAGTTTGCGATTTTGGAGTGTCGTTTATCATCGCTCTTGGTGAGGGTGAGGCTGTATGTTCATGTTTCCGTTTACCTTTTCTCTTAGCACTCTGTTTATTTCTGCAGCCAGAGATCTCCTGAAACGGTGATCCCTCTACTAGTGGGTTACTGTTAGTCAACTCTGACTATAAGTTTCTAGGGAGAGTTCATAGGAGGAGAAAACCAAAATTGTGAAAGGCCTCAAGACTTTATCTTATATCTGCAGAATTAATGAACTTAAACTATTTCCTCTTGAGTATGGGCGGACTCGCGGAGATCTCATACAGGCGTATCGGATTTCGAGGAACCGGGACTGTACCCTGCACCTCGATCATTTCTTTGTCTTAGGCACAGCAACAAACTTGGGTGGAATCTCTCTTAAACTTCGAGGTTCCCGACGTCACCTGGACGTTCACAGGCACTCTTTTTCACAGCGAGTTCTCGGTATCTGTAAAGGGCTTCCCGAAGACGTGATAATGGCGGATTCCACGCAGACATTTAAACAGAGACAAGATGTATATTTGCTCGAAAAAATGCCGCATAACTGAACAGATGAGCTCTGTCCTACCAACCCAAGGACTTGAATACGTCTGACGCTAATGCGGATGACTGTCATCCCGTTATACCTTTATCACCTACAACAGAGTGTTCTCCAGTTTTGTTCTCGCATTTTCAAGTCCAATATTCTGTAAATGTGTACATTACGGACAATACTGCAGTGCTATGTTTATTTAAAGTTAGATGTTGCATGTAGCGTTTTCAATAGAGGTTTAAAAGGCGTTGCCTATTATTCTTAAATTTTACTGACCTACTGTTTTCAGGAAAGCCACCAACACAAGACAAATACTACACTTCAACAGCAATCATCCTCTCTCTCAGAAACACAGTTGTACCCGTACTCTATTTCAAAGAGTTGAAACACACTGCAGCACACCAGCCGACAAGAGTTGAACCACAATATCTTATGATCTCTTTCGAGCCACTGGATACCCAAGCTACTTTATCAAACAAAGCAAGTACAGAGTAAACAGACGACGGTCACAAGAAGAAAAGCCCGAAGTCTGGAGGGCCATTCCTTACATTAAAAGGGTCTCCGAGGTGGTTTCACGACTGTTACAACCCGCCAGGGTAGGCATTGCCCATCGACCACAGGCAATATTTCGTCGCCGTTTGATGCAACCCAAAGACATACTGCCAACCACTGAAATCTCAGAAGTTGTCTATCAAATGCGTTGTAACGATGGAGATTGCAATTTCGTTGGGGAAACCGGACGGAAATTGCGGACCCGCCTACATGAGCACAAACGGGCAAATCGGAGACTAGACTCAAACTCACAGCTTGCGATCCACATCGCCGAAACTGGCCACAGTTCAAGGAGCATCCGTCTTAGGCGGGGGCACCTCAAGGAGAGGATGTCACACACTTGAGGCTCGGTACTCAGATGCCAACTCCATCAACAGGCATCTAGACCTTCCTGCGGCCTATCAAGTCCTGCGTCACTACATGCGCTATGCCGAGGACAAGGCAGTTATACGAAGCCAAGGAATGCCGAGTAAACACGGTCTGTAAACCGATTCACCCAAAAGGGGGACACAAGCGTTATTAACCACAATTGAAGTGACGACACATAACACAGGAGGCCACCAACACACAAACGACGGCCAGTAGGCCGACGCAGCAAAATAAGAAGAAAAATCAGTAGCACAAGGCCAACTAATTCGGCTGTTTATTAAAAATTCTGATCGATTATTGTACTAGACGCTTTAAGATTGAGAGCCACCCAAGCTCTTCGAAGCGTCAGCCAAACTATTTCCTCGATCCGGTGAGCAGTTCATTTTCTTCAGATTACCGACCCGGATGTCTTACGTTCGTTAACTTGGATCATGCACCTGCGGGTGAGTACAAATGCGGTCTCATCATAGCGTCTCCGGAATAATAATACCGCAAAGATTTTCTGCCATGCTGTATAAAGTTGTGCAATAATAAACCTATTCTCTAACGTTCAATGTTGATATAGGTCAGAGCGGTTTATGAATTTTCCATCAATTTTTGCACGAACAAGAATTCAATAAGCTTCTTCCACGGCATCGATTGGTATAACTGCCGTTCGATAATAGGGCCGCCGACAATTTTCATAGCTATGTTTGTTGTGAAAAATAAACAAATGGTTTTATTCAGCACCAATAAGAGTACTTTCACGGCAAGTAAAACACATTTTCACATTAATTTAGGAATGAGTATACGAACACTGTAAAATGGTCAGTTTGTGCTTATAAAATAGTCAGTTCGGTACGAAAACTAGTTAACGAACAACGAAAACACTTCTTTATTTTTTCGAAAGTGCAAGACGAACGTGATCTGATTAGTTTTTAGGGGGAAAAAAGCTGTCGCCCATGGGAAGATAAGTGTGCAGGTGGGGCAAGACCTTCCCGTAAGTGAGAGTATGTGAGGGTTAAAAATGATCGGGGTACCGTCATAGCGAGGTGGAATTCCCAGACTAGGCGAGGCTGCTCGGTGCATATTTGACCATAATATTTCTCGGATGACAAGATAAGCAACCGTCAATTTGACGAGACCAGAGAAACATAACGCGATCGGTTACAGTCCGCCTAGAGTCAAGACAGAGAGGGGCCATTTAAGGTTTCGGGGTTCACCCAAGCTCGGGGGATGCGACCGTGATTCTTCTTTACTGATCAGACAAATTACAAGAATATGACAAAAACAAATGAATTGGCTGTGATCATCAGTGGATCTCCTGGGGCCGAAATAAGGATATGACGTTAGAATCCGCGAAAATCAGCACTCACGAAGGGATGTGGGGGAGCAGGGTGAATTCTTCATGACGGTAGGGTAAGAATCTGGGAATGTTAGATGGCAGCCGACACAGTGTAAACTAACAATGGGGAAACAGCTTGAAAGCCTAGAGGCCGGAACGAAATTCTGGTGAAAGTTGCCGGTGAGTGAAACGGAGACGCCTTGCAGCGGGCGCGCTAACGTGTCCCCGATGATTTTTCTGAGAGGTTGGTAAGGAGGGCATGAGGTTTAGTAAAGGACGTGGTGGATCGACTAAACAAATCGGACTTATGTTTATGAAGTTTCCCTGTCAGTCATGTATATGAACTTCACACTAACTGCCTACTACCGTCCCAAACTCTCTGTTACACCTATTCCTCACAATCTGTCCAACTGCCCTCCTTCTTCAGGTGAATGTATAAAGGCCTTCTAAATGTCCTGGCAACTGCCTAATACAGCAAATCTCCCCAATCCAAACCTGAAATAGCACACGTTTCCAACCCTTACGAAACGGTAGAAAGTAGACAGAGCCGAAAACAGTTATTTACTTAAACGGTGAAAGGAGCGTGCAAGTACGAAACGGACTATTCTTTTTCCCGGCCTTAGCCTCCAGTTCCGTCTTAGCAATGTACAACCGTGAATGAGCCTGGAAACTCCGTTAGAAGCTGGATATCGGGTATTGAAAATATCCCTTTGTGTAACTCAATAAACTGGTAATCATTTTAAGAATAATTATATAGCATTATACTTTTATTGAATGATTGTTACTAATAACGAAAACATTAGTGTAACTGTCCATGAAAAGAGAAAAACAACGTCAGAGGACGACGAAGTGAATCATGATGCCAACTACGTGGCAGACGACGTACCATGAGCAAAACCATATGGGTGCTTGCGTACGGCAAATCCACTCAAGGCCGAAGCATTACTGACTGGACTACATAACCCCCTGCCATCTCCGGGGTTAAAGCGTGAACGGAGACTTCCAAAAAGGCCGTATGTCAATTTAAAAGTACGAATATCCCGAAGGCTTAAGGGCGAAAGCCTCATTTTCCAAACAATGATTTAATTATCAACCTACGTTGTTTGAGTGGGCCGATGGCCTCGCGGGATTTTGCTTTGCCAGGTGGCATACCGTTTTCTTCTATTACTCGCGTGGACGCTGCCTGTGCTTACACTAGCGGGAGATCTGCTGTACGTTTACTTAACCATCCGGCCTTTTCCACTTAGGCCCTCGAAAATTGGGTGCCGGTGTCGATGGACAATTTATATGACAGCTTTCGAATGCTGCTCTGGACGTAGCAGTCATATGACAGGATCCTTTAGTTGTCTATCAATTACTTTCTGTACTTGAACTGCAAGTACTTCCCGCGGTCCACTGCTAAGCTGCTGCACAGTTGCGTACCCAAGTCGAGTCAATATCGCCTTATCACTAAGGCACACCCTGACAGCACTGTACTAGCGGGCACCGGCATCTCATATTTGTGGTTTTATATGCGGCTAGTGGTATGACAAAGCACAGCCTGTGTGAGTAACTCAGCCTCACTGCCATGCCCCGCCACTGGCGCCGGATACGCGGAGGACTGCTGGACGGATTTTGCCTTGCATGGACTATTGAAAGTCAGCCAATCACAAAATAGGCCGTAGACTAACCGTAGGGGTTAGTCCTTAGCGAGTGCTATGTTATTAGGGCACTAAAGCCCGGTCCGTTTATTAGTCGCCCTTCTGTCAACCGACTGACAGCGTTGCGCGCCTCTGGCTACGCTCAGACTCGCTGACCCCAGCGTCGTTATGATGAGGGTGTTCGTGATCTCTTTCGCGGCTATTTTGACTAAGGTCTCCGCATATTTTATACGGACGCCATTTGCTTGACCGGGGGAATCATTGCGCCCGTGGTAGATCCCACCTAAGCATAGTAGTGTTATTAAGCCATCGAGGTGGATGCTGAATCGCCGACTGCATTTACTTCGACCAGTAACGAGAAAATAGTGACTTGCCCTAAAGAGGTAGTTATGAGACTGGTCTCCACGTTTATTGAATTTCAGTAGTCAAATATGACCGTTTTAAGCATTCATTCTCCTGATGCAGTTTTCGTTTGCTTGATGTGTGGAATACTTAAAGCCTCTAATACTTTTCAGAATCAACGTAGTGTTAGAGTCCTTTATTGGACGCAAATTCAGACTACTTCGTTGTACAATCACCTACGTCGCGAGCTCTCGAGATGAAACCCAAAGGGACGGATAAGATGTTGCACCCATCTAGCAGGAAGGCTAAGAAGCGTATCTCCCAGGCTCATCACGTCTCAAAAATCAACAAGTATATATGCATGTCGATGTGCGTCTAACATTCTCATAGAAGGAAGAAACTCCGCAAATGCAAGGACGAGTTAAAGAGTACGAAATGAAATCTTACCCTCGAATCATATAGGACTGAAGCTGGCTTGGTTCAAGGATAACATTCCGAAGGACGCCACCTCCCTGTCGGATCTTGAGATCAAACAACTTATGGCCAAGTAAGTCTTTGGCGAAACGTATCTTTGTGCAATGATTTACCGTACTAACAACACAGGTATTAGCTAAAAGCCCAGACACGCGTCTTTCGCCGATCTTATGCTGCTGCCTGGCGCAGCTGCGAGGGGTTCGGCTCGTCAGTAGGTCGAAGATTTACTCCAAGTTCGCGCATTAATTTCCTGAGAAATTAAACAAGGCAAGTTGAAACTGGAGTTCATATACCAGAAAAACACGGGAAAGCTGGGGGACCCACTGACGAGCCGAACCCCTCGCAGCTGAGCCAGGCAGCGGCATAAGATCGGCGAAACACGCGTGCTTGGGCTGTTAGCTAGTACCTGTGTTGTTAGTACGGTAAATCATTGCAGTTCTATACTACTGGCTGCCTGTTGGCGGTTTGTGAATATTAAGCGGTTATTCCGCAGTAGCCGATGGATTTCAGCTCAAATATTCATATCAAACTTTGGACAGTGCCTGAAAAGGCCCGTTTCGAAAGATTTACTCCAAGTTCGCGAATTAATTTCCTCGGAAATTAAACAAGGCAAACGTATCTTTACATACGGAACCAATACACAGTACCACCAGTCAGGTCGTCTAAAACTGTCCTTATTAGCATTAGATGGTCACCCTTTTTGTTCTCGCTCCATATTTGATGTAACGTCCAGTAGATCTTCCTGTTTGGTCATAAACACCCCCCCCTGGAGATCCATTAATCAGTGCGGAGAGAAAAAAGCATAATCTACCAAAACGCCGGTAACAGAAGTTTCCACGACCCCACTATACGGCTAAAACGTTTCCCCGAAGTCCACTCAGTTTGATGTTTTTGTTCCACAGATATCTGCGAAGATTCAGCGCTGAAACAAAGGCGGAACGGAAAGAAGTTGAAAATTGTTCCGTTTCAATGTCTATAGATATGTCCAACGCATTCGTGGAGCAAGAGATGCGGGAATATAAGACGGCCGGTCTTTCCATACCAGACTTGACCTCGAAAGTAAATGTGGAAAAACTAAGGTAGGCCTCGCAGCTTTAGGCATTTTCTTGTCCTTCAGAAACTGGAATGGCGAAGTCGCTCAGATGGCCACGGTCCCGATGACTGTTGTAAAGCACACTGACAATAAAAAGTAGTTTTTGCCACTCTTACTTTTCACTACGCTTCACAACCAGAAGGCTGCCGTGACAAAAAAACTCTTGCCCTCATGACAAATAGTCAGAGCTATGGACCACTTGTAACTTGATTGAAGCAATTTCCGCAACACAGGCTGTTGGGTTGGAGTCCGATTGTCAAGTTTCAGTGTCTGTTGCTGCGCTCTGGCGCCACGAGGACGGTGAGGTTGAGGAGGCCGGAGGACATCACTGCTTACGGTGCGCCAATTCCAAGTGGGTCATGACGGCTGTCTGACACCGATATAAATTGTGTACGCCCCATGGTAGTGTCCAGCCTGAACCCAAATGTGTTTTGCGGGCTCCCAGGTGCACTTTTGCGGTGCGCCTACCTGGTAGACGGAAAGTAAGCATATAAACCTCGACAGGACGTCGCCGCACCCTAAGTACTTTAATTAAGGATAGCACCAATGCAGAGACCTGCCCCGTGCAAGACATCCTTCAATGAGAATATGGGGATGGTCGATACCCATAAGAGGCGGGCTGGTGTCGAAGCGTGCGCGAACAACTGCGCGACTGCACGTGTAGGAACTGAGGCCGCCTAGGTAAGTACCAGGTGATAATACAGTTCAGTACAACTGTTTCCCTCTACTTCCTTTGTGTTGTGACGACGATCCTATCCACTTAGAATTCTGTTGTCAGGCCTTTCTAAGTGCAGTTGACGTTGTAGTCAGTAACGAAAATCTAGAGTACTGGATCCTAAAAGCTCGTAGGTAAACAATTCAAGCTTCCTGCCGGGTGCTCATGAATGGGCCTTACACCTAGATCACCAAAAGTGACTCGCCGCAGACTAGTTCCATGCGCAGCGGAAACTTAAAAAAGACTGATATTTTACACTGTTTAGACCGCGTCGCTCACAGCCAAGTAAAAATCATAGAAATGTACAAAACTGGCAGTTCCATCAGACGTGGTGGGTGGGAAATATACAAAGTCCGCTCAGCTGATGTGTCCTGCGTCCGTTACGGAGATGCCCTGGTACAGTAGTGTTCATTGCTGTTTGAAGTCCTGAAATGTAAAATGAGTGGAAAGTCTAGGGGCAATCAGTACCTCGTTTCCATGTTTGTCCTCGGCTGACCCATCTGAAATTTGGCGCACATAGGGTTGGCAGATCCAGTGTGGGTGCGCAATAGGACGCGGCTCCAAATCGGGTGACCAGGGAGCAACCTGGCACGAGTCCTAAATGGAAAATAAAACCTGTAGCCGGCTTGCTTGAGTTAACTAACGGGGTAACTGGCCGGAGACAACGAACAAAGTTTAAGTAACTCCTTTAGGATTCCCGAAAACAATTTCTTAGCATCCGGTATGATTTACGGGGTTGCCATCGGCGCAACTTGGAAAACAGATTCCCTACTAACGGATGTGGTAGTGTACGTAGAGTTGGGGAGTCATCTTAGGTCCCCTTGCTGAAATTCATAACGTAGCGCTGGACCGAGACCAATGACTTCTAGTCCACAACCTGTGAAGCAGTCGAGCGGCAAGGTTGCCCCTACGCAAATTTTCCGATGTTTGTTACGTATTATGTCCAGCTCTCCACTACTCAGACAGCGTTAGTAACTACTAGAAATATAGTGAATAAAGGACAGTGGCATCCGAGCTATTCAAAGTGCATAACCTGGAAAAGGTTGTTGATGGACGAGTGTGGAGTAAAGGACTCAAGAAGCCGCGATCTATTCGGAAGGTGTCTTTGCCGGGATAAACATGGCCAAGAGTATCGTCAGCTGAGAGCCTGATAGGAGGTTGCTGAGGCTCAACCGGTCATGTTCCGGCTGCCATCTTGAAACTCAGCCACCAGTACAGAGAAATGCGTTGCCGAAAGTATACACGCTGGTATGCTTCCCCAGCAACTTACAGTGCTACACAGGAGCTCACCTGACACAACTGTTCCAAATCCTTGATGAGGCTTTCTATCTCTTCGAGTGTCTTCGCCTCAGCGAGGGTTTCTCGGTGTTCCTCGTGTTTATTAAAGCTACAAGGAAAATAGAGCATCTGCAGTAAGTAAAATCGCAAATAAATCGGTTAGTCCCCACCGGCAAAATCCGAAGACGTGGTGCAAATCAACGAACGTAGAGCCTGAAAATGTACCACATAGATTGTGGCTGGGCACGTTCGCTGACTTCCAACAGTCCTCAAAGGTGGTGCTTTAGGAAAAACAGTCTAGTCTTGTGGACGTACACATATTTCCCTTTTGAAGCTACTTACGTGTTCCGGAGCACCTTAAAGAGATGGCCTCTCACAATTGACATTGAGCACGGATAGGTCCTGGCAAAATCCAGATACTCTAGGCACACCTGGAAGACACAAGGCTGCTGACCAGAAAAGAGGGCGGGATTGTACAGCTGCGGTTCTGTGTAAACAAAAAAGGGGGGAGAGTAAAGGAAAGATGCGAAGATCTTAAAGACGCAGGGGCGTGGTCGACGGCATAAGAGCAGCGAACGATGTGGTAAAACATGAAGTATGCAGCGGACAGATTCTCTGTTCAACCAAACATCCACTAGAATACAACAACTAAAAGATAAGCAGCACTCCTCCACTGTATTGTCTGAATCCCAGACGAACCTACTAGGCATTCGCATTGAATGAGAAGAAAGTGTGAATGTCTCAACCTAGAGTAGACTAATTTGGTCCGCAAAGTCAATCACAAGAACTGAAGGCCAGTTGAACCGGCAAGACTTCTGACGGACAAGTGCCTCTTATAAATGTAGCACTAGTTTCAAGTAGAAGCGAAATCCAGGGCATAAGTATTTGGCCTAAACTGTTCATCCGTGATAATTACTCCCTACAAAGGTACCCCAATGTCGCTTGGGCGCGGAGTGTAATGCACAAAAGCTACCGGAGAGGGCAAGAGGTAAGATCGCGTGGTTTTGGGCTGTCACTTATTATGACGTTTAGTTAGTGGCGAACTGCAAAAAAACGCACGATGCGACAAATCAAGGAGGCGAGGGGCGTCGTGCTGAGTTTGCCGTACATAGAGGGCAGATGCAAAATGTCAAACATTTAATAATAAGTCAGATGACAAATATAAAAGAAAATATTACCGGCACTCATCAGGGCATCGGCTTTAGTAGCCCGTAAACATTTTTCTATATCCTCGAAGTACAAAACATTCCCATTTGCAATGACTGGGATGTTAACAGCGCTTCTAAGAAAAAAAGTTGGCATTAGGTGACTGCCTACTTGACGGCCCTGATCTGTTCCCAGTCAGCCAGACCAGTTTTCTGTCCGTTCTGTTCCCGAGTCCTCCCATGAACGGCTATGAAAGCAGCCCCGGCAGCTTCAAGCATCTTCGCGTAGGCAACGGTTCGGTCGACGTCAGGGAATATGCGTATTTTTACGGAAACGGGAACCTTGACTCTGGATGCGCACTGGCGAACTAGAAGCAAAAAAAAGATCAAGGCCTGAACCAGAGGCTAATTTGAGTGTGTACGCAACTACCGGACATCGCCACAGACTACCAGTTGAACCATTAAAATGACATTAATATATGTAGCAACTTTTTGTGATATTAGCACAATTTCGTGTTTTCAGAACAGTTTAAAACTCGACCTGTTCGAACCCAGATTGGAAACTGTGTAAACTAGGTCACCTCAAAAGTGGTTGACGCGGGTAATGGATTCCCGCCAATAAGCCCCTACTGTGGAGTGGCATCTGGTTCAGATGGGCTGCTGCCTTATCCATTTATCCTTCGGATGACTGTACACGGTGTCCAGTTCGATGTAACGACTAATGTATGGGATATTGGAGTGTATGGCCTCCAGAAATTCTCGGCCTTTCTTAGACGGGCAGCAACCAGCAACGCAAGTTTTGTCCCAGTCAAATTTGTGTCCAGGTTCCAGTGTATGCCTGGCAACTTGAGACGTGATCTCACCTCTTTACTACCAACTGGCATTCGTGTAGGAGTGTAGAGGCCGATTTTCCTGTTTGACTACAATATTGCCACATGAAATTTTGTAGACTTCTTTTTATCCATATAACCGACCCTACCTTTGAGGTGTAAAAGATGGTTTCGTAGTGTAGTCGTCGGTTTGTGCGTTACTTGGATTTTGTGTTTCATCAGGTGTCTTTAAACGAGTTCGGAAACGTCTTTAGTGTACGGAAATGTTTAACAGTTTTTTCGGCTTGGGTGCCTGATCGGAACAATCTAGTTCCTTACCATTTTCTTTTAAATTTAGTCGCTTCATGCATCGACGCACAAAATCTCTAGGGTAACCATTTCTGGCAGACGGGTCGGGCAGATAACTAAGTTCAGTTTGTTAAATTTTCTCGATTTTGCCTTTATGCAGCCAACCATAACCCTGACCAGCAGATGGGACAAGAAACACAAACATGCGCACAGACGCACCTGGCGCAGTTGGTCCACCACTGGGGTCTACCAGATGGGTCATAAGCACGTCATCGAACCGAACTAACATGTGTCAGTGAACTGATTCAAAAATGTTTGAGTACGCAAAATTACCCAGGTCTTACTCACCCATTGATGATATAAGCTCCCACTCATCCTGCAAATATGATCCATAGTGTCCACGTCGGGCTATACCTTGTGGACACCCAAGATTAAGGTTTACACCGTCGCAGTAATCCTCAACAAACTTGGCGGACTGGGCAAACAATTCAGGACTATTGCCACAGAACTTAGAAAATACAGAATAATAAAAGACCAACCTGAACAATAAGTGGTCGATCTTCGTCGGAAAACTCCATCATTTTTTTTCTGTACTTGACGTCACGAGTAAACTGATTTATATTAATCATTGGCGTAAATGTCATCTGTGCACCATATCTCCGAGCTAACATACGCCAAGCCAGCTCACTCTGGTCAACCATTGGTGCAAGCACGAGTTTGTTTTTCTCAAATACGACACCCATGAATGCAGGACACCAGTTTGTCGGCGAACAACTGAAGGTGCGGGACTACTTCAGTGTACTAAAACATGGGAAGACGATCAAGTGCGAACATATTGTGGAATTACTTCCGTATACTGAAGAAGTCAACGTTTCCACAGTCACTCTACGATTGGACACCGACTTAGCAGTAATTGCTGAGCAGGCTCCAATGGATCTTAAACAAGAAGCTGGGGCCCAAAGTCATAGCTCTACACAGGAAGAATAAAACAAATGTTTTCATCAGCAAAAGGCAGCAAACAATGGCACCTTAAAATGCAGCGGAGGTGGATGAGTGGGCATGCGAAATATACACGCACGAAAGTCGGCGACAAAAAAGTAAGGGGAATTCTGTTGAAATTTACGGATTACACGTGTTATTGGCACGCAAATACATGAAATGCTTGTCTTCACACGAGGACTATTAAAATTTACAAACAGAAAGCCAGCACAAATCAAAATTAAGCGTAAGTATAAAGCTATTTAGCGAACACGTATTTAGACTTAAGTTACTTTGAGTTCACGAGAGTTAAGCCGATGCATGCATGTTAATTAATAAGGTCTCAAGGACACAGTAATGAATTGGTTGAAATTATTATCGAAGGAAGGGATTGTTCTGCATTTGTGGTCCTTGCCATTCGGACGTCCACCAGCTTCAACTCTCCATATAATCCGAAGCCCGCATGAAGTGATTTTAGGGCGCGGGTGTGGGGTAGTGTGAAATGTGTGCCACAGACATTATGTTCCTTCGTTTTAACTGACGCCAAATCCATTCAAACGCAGCTTCTACAAGCCCTTGAGATAAAAGTGGGCGGTCGACGGATCCGAACAAATCGATAGTGTTTGGTGACTTCAATGCTTGTGTAGGCACTGGCCACGACACGTTAGAGGGAGTATTCAGCCGTCATGTGGTCGGCTGATGCGACGTCAGTGAGATTTTCCCTCCAACAGGCTCGTAAAATCACAGTATCCTAATGACTAACACTTTCTTTCGCCTTCAGATGCGGGGAGAGACAACGCGGACGCGACTGCGCGTCAGTGGCAGCTGGTGAATTACGCCGCGAGCGGATGTATGGCCAGCGTGACGTACTAGTGGCCAAGGCGGCATATGGGCCGGCTTCTTTCTACACGACCCGTCTGCTACATGGGCAATCCGGGCAATTAAATCTTCTGCGTGAGATCCTGGTGTTTTCTGGGAGGGACATGTCGCGTGTGAGACACATGCAAATGGGCTCTCTAGGCCTGTCAGCCACTCTGCCCAATCACCGCACAAGATATCTGACCGGCTCAGCCATTGAACTGATTCCTTGGATTGGGAAGAGAGAAAGAGAGATAGAGAGAGAGGGGTTGACTGCCTCAACCTATGTCTATCGCAGTAAAATATCTTTCATGCCTAATTCTGTCATAGTGCTCTAAAAGCAGCGGCTTTACAGATTACCAAATAGCGGAACAACTCAAACCGCACGGTGGCCGAATGATGGACTGGGAGACAGACTGCAATAACTTCCTCCTAATGTGGCCTCTGTAGCACTCCAACTCAGTGGGATCCGAACCGACTGGCAGCACGCGCTCGTGTGCCAGCTTGCTCTGCACGAACCACCCGCATCCTCCCCCATCCCCAGTTTTCTTGACTCTGACATAAGATCAGGTGCGGTAAGTGCTGCCCAAGTACACTGTTAATTTAAACTGATTCACATGCACACACAAGATGGCACCCCTTTGACCACTCGACTTCGAGGCATACGTTCGACGACGTCAGAATCGGCGGTCGGCCTGTCCTGTATTGTGCCGGCTACTTGATGCACCACCCCAAAACCGCCAATAAGACGAGGTTGCACATGAAACTTTACAGCCTGCCGTAAGGTTAACGAAGAGTGAAGGATTTGAATACTGTATGACTGAATATGGCAAAGCGCTAGTTGGATTTCAACAAACGCATGAGCCTCAAACTGCATTAAGGGTAGAGTCTGCAAAAAAACCGACAAAACAGAGATTTATTCGAAGGGCCTTCGAGACTTCATGCGACTCACCATTCTGGAAGCCCATGTCTAGGCATGCTGACAGCGCCAGGACTAGTTCGGTTACATCCGACATCTCTCCCCGGGAAGCACCGGCTAAACACAACATACATCTTAGTAATGCAATCCCTTCAAAATCTGTCGCTCATGTTTTCCGTCCGAGATCGTTTGCTAAGTTTTTTTTCAAACCACATTGCATTTGCTTAATTATAAGAATAATATCATTATAGAGAACATGGACAAAGCAGCATTGTCAGCCTCCTTCTTTGCCAACCAACTGCCCTCTGAGAATGATTCACTTGCCTTAATTCCACCGTCGCCTGATTCATTAGCCACCACCATTTACCCCCACCCAGCTAGTATTCTGAAGTAGAGAAGCTGTCTAAGTAACTCATACTCCATTGGAACTGAGAACATTTCGGACTCTCCTACCAAACAGCTGAAGCACTATCCTCCTATAGTGAGCAAAATCTTCTCAGTATTTATCGAGAATGGTCTCTTTCCTGACCATGGAAAAACTTCTGTTATTGTTCTAGTGTTTAAATCTGGCCTCTCTTCTGATGCCTAAAATTATCGGGATGTTCACAAAACGTCTTCTCTTACCAAACTGTTTGACAAACTGATTTCGATCAAAATTGCTGACTTTGGCACAGTCAATCAAAATATAGGTTCTTCCGAAAATGGTTTCTTTTCCGACAGCTCTTGTGAAACGTCTCATATGTCTTACCTGAGCCTATCTTCTATTCCTCGATCTGACCGTATACCTGTGGTAATCATTTACTTCGATCGTAATAAAACCCTAGACAAAATGCCACACGGATGACTCTGGAAAACTCCAGGAATTTACAGTCCCATCATCGACTTTATTGACTCATAACTATGCAATCAGAAACAAAAGGTCTTAGTGGGATCCTCAGTTTTCAGTGATACTCCTATTGCAGGCGGCGTCCTCCATGGCGCCAAACTGGGTTCTTTTTTGCTTTTGATTTACGCCTATGATATTTAATCGGCAGTAAGACACATCTGGTCTTTCATATATGCTGATAATGAATATATTCTTTCTCTAAATCTACGACCGGTCATTGATCGGAAGGAACCCATTCAGATTTGCTTGCTTTTTCGGCATGGGGGTCAACACGACTAGAGGGATTCTCTCCCTCTAAACACCGTTACTTGTAATTTTGACCAGAAAGGTTACCCCAACCAGTGATTTTTTAGGGCATCCTTGTGACTGAATGTTATACTACCGAGTACTTAGGTTGAAGTTGCATTAGTAAACTAGATCTATCACTGGAAGCCGGCAGAATGATGGCTACAGCTGCCCGGATTTGTGACTATATTTCTTATAATTGCAACCTTCCTGAAATTAAACTAAAACTGTAACGGATGTTGGTCCTTCGCAATCTTGAATATAGCTGCCAATCCCTTGTTCTAATGAACTAGTCGAGCAATTATAAAATTGAGAATACCCGAAGGCACTATCTTGAAAAACCTTTATATCCGACACATCCAGATGCTCCCTACTCAAACGGATGCCAGCTAACTAACCTAAAATTTATGTGGGTTCGGAGACTGGAAGATGCCATCTGTCTCCCTTTCTACATAAATAATCGTCAGTATCTTCCTCGAATTTCAGTCCTTACCCCTGTTAGTTGTCACTTCAACATTCGCTATCCCTCCTTGATTGTTCAACTTTCCGCCTCTTCCATTTTTAAACGTCCTCTCTTATTTGCATTCGGGAATATCTCCCGTTCGAAAAATTCAGCAACCGAGTTAAGACCGCCGAATAGCTTGTCTGTTTTTAAGAGGGGACTATCCCTTTGTCTAAACCCCGATTTAATTAACCTTTTATTTTCCTCATCGTTCCGGAGCTGCTTTCTCCAGGACTTCGGAAATGGACAGTTGGGAATTTGGGTGACTGCCCTCAAATTACCCCGTACACTCGCATTCTTCTCTCCGCATGTGGTTTCATCCTTCAAGATCGCTTACCGGAAACTGAAACATTCTCAGTCTGGTCATCGTGAACATCACGGAAAAACAGTGTGCCCCCTAACCCGCTTTTCAGGCAAAAATTGGAGTCTTCTTGATGCGTAAGTCATAAACAGCCTCTGTTCTCGTCGCATACCCTCATGAGTACTCCGTTCTCGCCATTGAGATTTTGTGTCCCTATCCCCCATCGTTGGTCCCGCAACCTACAATGAGGCTTCGCCCTCAGTTTCTGATCTACCTTTACAGTTGCACCCAAGCACAAGGATGAATTTATCCTGCTCTTCCACTTCCTTTCGTTATGCAGTTTATTTAAAGCCCGGGTTCCACATACCATCCCGGCACTTTCAGTTCAGGAGTGTCACTTTCTGCTTCATCCACAACTCGCACCTCTTCTAGGAATTCCGTTTGGAATATAGGGAAATTGCCATTGCAAGTATCATGTGTAAAAAACAAATCGCCGACGGACGTTTAAACAACCCTTACTTAACATAATTTCTAACTTCTACTGTGCAGCATGCTGCTCAAAAAGACTTTTATCCAAATCCTACTGTCTGTATGATATCACTTAACTCAGCGTTTAATTTCAA